CCAGATCACTGATGAAGATGTTAACTAACACGAGAGTAATGCTGACCTCTGCAGTAATCACTAGATATTTCCTCATTGCAAAATATCATTAGTTACCCACTCTTCAGAATTCTTCAGAGGAGCCAAAGGACCATGCTGTGGTTAGTCCTGAGCAGGGGATGATAGGTGAGGGCAGGCTCCTCTAACTCTGCTTTCTACCTCCCACTATCCCCATCTTGCCCTTGGTTATAGGACCAAATTCTGCTTTTGGTCACCCATATGGAATGCCATTAAAGTCAGTGGGGTTACACAGGGGCAGCAGAGGTCACAATTTGGCTTGCAGAGTTTAAATACCTTTAAATGGATTGTGTTTTAATCAGGTACAGGAAATTCACTCCCATGTATTAATCTTTTAGTGCCAAGCTTCTGCATTTTTACAGCAACCCCTTTAAAACAGAGGATGTATGATGGATGTGCAGGGAAACCCAGATGTAGTTTTTGCAGCACTATAGTAAGGGCTGTTATGCTTCGCAAGTTGGATGCAGCAGAGAATCTGCCCCAGTGATTTCAGAAATTGATCAGACTGGAATAAAGTCACTATCAGATGCAATATTTTTCTGTTATGTGAGTTGTGATGTTATATCCTAAACAAAGCAGGGTGCTGTGGAACTGGTAGGGTGGTTCAGGTATCAATTCCTTATTTTATTGCGTCTATCAAGTGGGTAAGGTGAATAGAATTTAACACCAGATGGTATTTCAGTCAACAGCTGTGTAAAAGCAAACAACAGTTTTTATTTAAGAATTCTGTAGTGCTTTTCCTTGGGTATCCCAGCTACACATAATTAGCAAATGGGCAACTTTACATCTAGCACTAGCTTCTCAGCAGTAAAACGAGATAAATTGTTTCATTTTAGAGCTTGACTTTGAAGTAATTAATAAATATGATATTTAATTTTTCTGAGCTTTTGAGCACTTCATCAGTTAGGTGACAAACTTGCTTTTGAGTTTTAAAGATTCTGCTGGTTTAAATCAGTCCTGGAGATATTGATTAGAGTGGCTAAAATCTTGGCAAGCATTTGGCTCTTTACTTTGAGTATTGACTGTCCATAAAAAAGTCATTTATCATGCTTTTTTAAAAAAATCTGGTTTCAAACAAAGCTCTGGGAACTTGTTCACTGTATAGTCCTCTGGTTGACTAAAATGTTCTTTCAATACCAAAGATTTCACTTATTGCAAGAGAGCTGGTGAGTTAGAACTGAAATATTAATCCTGTAAGTGTTATTTTAAAGCAGCTGTTCTGATGATCTGCAATGGCACTGAAACACAGTGGGTATTTTTTATTCCTGTGAGTGATGAAGTCTTTACAGGAAACAGCCATATTTGCAGCTTGTACGATTTTACTGCTGTGGGAGATATCCTGTCCTTTCTTTTCTCTCAGAGAATTCCCTATACATCCTTGCTTCAAGCAAACGTGACCATGATGCCCCAGAAAGAGGGCCTTTGACAGATTGCCATCAATTCCCTTGTGGTAGGATCTTGCCTTCCTCACTGGATTGGATGCTGCATGAATTTCTAACCTCTCTACATTTGTCTGCTGGCACTGTCTTTTCAGCATGTAGTTGATTCTGTGGCCTAGAGTAATCCAGTGGAATACATCAGGAATTATTTTGTCTTTTGTAGTATTTTGGTGGCTTATTGTTTGTTGTTAATCGGTTTTTAAATTTTAATAAATTAGTCTAGCAACAATTACTGAAATTCCACGTTGAAAAACAGACACCTCATATGTGGTAAATAGTGGTTGAAGTGTACTACACGTAACATTCATATGTAAAATTAGAAAATACATATTGAATAAAATATATAGAAAAGGCCCTTTTTATTAGGCTGAATGTCCCCTACGTTAGAATAAACTGGATAGGGAATAGGAGCTCAGGTATCTATCTCAGAGGATGAATTTCCACTTCTTACCATGTGGTAACGGAAGTGTTCTACGCAAAATAAACATATCTCAGGAACCCTGCTAGAGGCTCACATGCAGACTTGCCCATGGTTATCCACTTATTTATTATCTCTGGGATTTATTATTGCCACTCATTATATCTAATAGTGAAGCTACACACCCTGCAAAAGTTCTAGAGAATACAAAACTCAGAGATCAGGCTGCATAGCAACAAAAGTTACTGTGGGCACGTCACCCCAGTGCTGTCCTTTCTGCACTGGCTCCCCATAGCATACAGGGTACAATTCAATGTATCCATCTTGATATTCAGTCATCCATGCAATTGGCCTTAGCTACATGAGACCTGACATGTACCTCCACAACCCTGGAACTTATGACAGCTAAATTCCACTGGAAATGAGAAACTATTGACCAAGGGGAAGAGGCTCTAAAGTGTGGCAGACAGTACTTTCACAGGAGCTAGGCCTAGACTATGAAACTCACATCCACAAGATTGCAGCGTAACCTTGGACTTCACCACATACAAGTAAATAAATGCAAACTCATTTATTTGACTTAGCTTTACCTCAGTCAATTTTTACGCATGCATGTACACAAGCCAAAAACCCTATAAAATAATTAAGCTGTTTATCATGTGAGTTTGCACAGAAGAGAGAGAGAAAAAAATAGTTTTTAATATTTAAATACTTGGGACGTGCTCTGATACTACAGCAGTTGGGCCGTATAATCACCTGGATGGGCAGATAGATTGGGGTGATATGTAGAACAGCTGTCCTCCCAGCCAGCCCGTGTCTCACTTCTCCATACCCATAAAGCCCAATCTCATGTATATTTATGGTGTTACCTACAAAAAATGTTATTTTTACTGAATAATAATTATAAAATAAGTTACATTTTCAATGTCTCTTTCAAACTGAATGATCCATATAATTAAAAAAACCTCCTGGGCTTATTTTAGTCAGCTGTTAATATATTTTACTGGGTCACTGGACTCACTACACCTGAGGCAGTTGTTAATGACCTAATAACGCAAGCACCATACTATCTTCATATCTGTGTGTCAGTATATTCATGTTTTCATATATTTGCTACTTGGTAAGGACGTCGCCTTTGTAAAATCATTCTATTGCAAAGGCCCACATCCTCAAGGGTGTCGAGGCACCTTACTTCTATTGAAATACCTTTTGAAGAGCTGGGCCAAACTGACTTACTCAAGGCTACACAGTGTGTCAATGGCACAAACAGGAGTTTCTGGTTTCCATCCCCTCCCTTAGGCAGCTTGTTCTACTGGACTCTTTTCCATTTTTCTCCAGGTTGGGTGATGTCATAGTAATGAGATGAGCAGTGTAATGAGATGAACAGTGTAAATAAAAATAATAATCTAGACGAGAGGCTGATGGAGTATCAAAGACATGATTAGATTTTCTACTATACTCCTGTTGGTTAGTGTGAACTCTCCCAGGGTCTAGGTCACAAGTCCAAGTTAAGTGTCAGGAAGGGAAGTGCTAGCCTTTTACCGACATGTGCTGGTTCCATTCAGGGCTAATTGCTCCTGGGAACAGTTGGTCCCCGTAACCACGGGAACAGAGGGGACCCATTTATTCTATGTGGCTAGGTCTCACAGAACTAGTTGTAGGAACGAGGCGTTTCTGTAGCTCCCGAAGCATCCCTCCATAGATCCTCACATGCACATTCACTCTCTCTCATTCCTTTCCATGTAGTTGGGTTGCAGACTTTTCTACAGCCCTGTGATAGCCTAGTAACCCCTCTGCTACTCCTGCTGAGGCATTAAGGAAAGGACCGAACCTCCTGATCTCAGTCCCCAGAGCCACAGTGATCATATATGAGCAGTCATTAGCCATAGACTCTGCACCTGGTGGGACTCAGACTGCACTACTGGGCCACTATCTGTGAAGTAGTGTCCTTCAGGATGTGCATTATCCACTGCAAAGTCCGGCCGGGCCGAAAAGCTGGGCCAAACTCTGAGATGTCCACGCACTGGGGCTGGTTCTTTAGCCACTAGAGCTCCCACTTATTATAGTGATACCAAAGTAATGAACAACATGAACCTTAACAGATCTTTGAGAGAAGCGACAATTAGCCTTTTTTTGGTCCGTGTTCTGAAAATAATGTTCTGCTCTGAGTGTAACTCTAAGGATTCCATTTTCTTTAAGACAGGCCTAAAATGGACAAAAATCACTAAACAGTCTCCAAGAAAGCTTTAAGCCTACTTTTCTTTGAGGATTGCCTGTCCCTGGTAACATTCATCCCTCCCCATTTTAATTTGTAATGATAAATGTCCTTGCAATAATAAACTCATAATAGATGCTTGTTTATCCCTTCAAGGCATGTCCTTGCCGCTTTCATTAGCGTTTCAGGATATTTATGACTTTGTGAATGACTGAAAATCTGCAATTTGTCATCGGGGATTAAGACACATCCTTCTCTCACTTAGGGCTGAAGCTGAGCTTTGGCCTTGGAGAGACAGAACCACCTCTGGGCTTCTTAGACAAAAACAAAGCCAGACAGTCCCCACATTTACTGCAGCAAGTGGCTCTTTGCTACTTAGATGTCTTCACTAATGTGTCATCTGAACTAACTGTAGGGACCATAAAATCCTCTGTTCTGCAGGAGCAAGAAAGAATGGGGTGGAGACAGGGAGAGGAATGCAAGTGTCTCCATTTCCCAGTTCAAACAAAAATAACAGAGTTTAAAAGTAAAATTGGAATTTTTTTCACGCACACACACACAAAGTGTGTCTATTCAAGGAAATATTATATTTCAATTTGTCATTGTGGTTCTGCTGCACTGAGTCACTCTCAACTTCAGAGCACATGAAGCCAACAGTATCCTGAAGGCTCAGAAGACAAGTTTATCACCTACTTGATGAAGGATGACGTACTCAGGCACTTAAAAAAATAAAAACAATCAAAAGAGCTTTTCACAGGCTAAGCCATACTAGGAAAAATCAGAGGGGAGGACGTTAATTGGTTTGTGCAACGTGATATTTTCAGCTTTGAAAAAATTCAGCCATTCAGTGGTACTTTCTTTCTTTCTGCAGGTTGACTAAGTGGAAAAACTAAGAAACTGCTTTCAAGCATTGAAGATACCAGGCCAGGATGAACACAAAGGACACAAAAGTGACTGAAGGAGGTCTCAATGTCACACTTACCATACGCCTTCTCATGCACGGCAAGGTGATGCACTTAACCCTGTAACAGTGGTTGTCTTTTTTATTTATCTAGGTGTCTGTGGTTGCATTAAAGTCTGACAGTTACATTTACAAAGACCTTGGTCCTGCTCCAATTTAAGTCAAGAGCAAAATTCCCATTGACTCGAGGCCCAAAGACCTGTCCCTGATTCAGCAACGTGATACCACTCGTGCTGAAATTAAGCATATATTTAATTCCATTCCTGTTCAGCACAGCACTTACGCACATGGTTACGTGTGTAAATCAGGGCTTCTAACAGGCCAACTTGGGGCCAGAGTGCCAATATCAGTGTTGTTACAGCTTCACAATTCTATAGCTCAGGGACTGAGAACAATTACATATCAAACCCCAGTTTCCAATACTTTGTTAGTCTCTTAATACAGAAGTGTGCTGCTATAAATTAAAACTTGTTTCACAGGTTCTCACCCTGAGAGCATGTTTATTTGCAATATTTGGCAAAACTAGCGTGGGTGTTTTCATATTTGGGAAGCATCTGTACAGTGCTGGCCTCAGGTAGATGTTTGCTCTCCTTTAGCAAGGAAACAGTGAAAATAGAGATAGATTAAATATGTTTTGGAAATATCTCACTAATATATATAATGTTTGTTTTGATTTATAATGCATAAAATATTTTCTTGGGCTCTAGGCAGCTGTGTTATACATTAAAAATACAATCACATTAAAACAAAAAACAGCAGCTGCTTCTCACCCCCTACACCAGAAAAGAACTGAGAGGCATTCAAAACCCATAAAATAGCCTCCTAACACAAATACCAGACTCTCTTATGCCCCCATATAAACTGGATTTATGTATGTGCAGGTTTGTATTTGTGTATAACACACACAAACTGTGTTAAACGAATGTTAAGATTGCAAAGTCAAGCACTCAAAAGTTAGAAAATGGGAGAATTAAGGTTGCCCATGCTATCTTAACTCAGCCCCTTTGTGCATATGCATTACGATACAGGTTTTAGTTACATGATCACATCCTATTTTTTCAACAGGATCCCTGCCTCCTTCAGTGCAAAGGATAGACCTGCTCTGGGCATGAATCAGGGTTGCACAGTGAAGGAGGCTGTTGTCTGTAGGACCCCTGGCTCATACGTTGAGGAAGTTGGAAGACATGTAGGAATTTAGGTAAGGGATTGCAGGAAGGGAAAGGATGGTCTCATGGTTAAGGGAGTTGAATGGTGCAGTGGAAAATTGGATCCTATCCCTGCCCCTGCCACAGAGTTCCTATGTGATGCTGGACAAGTAACTTGAACCAAACTTTTCACAGGCAATCACTAATCATTTTCTGGGTGCCTGACTTAAGATCTTGGGGCCTAATTTGCAGAAGTGCAGAGCACTCACAGCTGTAACTGAAGTCAATGAGAGCTATGCTTTGAACATATAAATTCTGTAAAATGCTTATAATGCTAGGTACTCTGAAAATTACCCAAAATTAGTGGATACTTTTGGCTTTAATCTCTGTGCTTCTGTTCCCCATCTGTCCAATGGGGCTAATAATATCTCCTCTCACTGAGCTGTTGGGGAAATAAATTAATTAGTGTATGTGAAGCAATCAGATACTGTAGCGATGAGCACCATAGAAAAGCCCGGTAGGAAAGTAATAATTATATCTTCAGATCAGGGTTTGAATAGTGTGCAATGACTAAAGCGCAAGGCCACACATTAAAAAACAAGAAGAAGACAAGAAGAATCAATTGTCTAGGGAGGTAGTGGAATCTCTGTCACTGGAGGTTTTTAAGAGCACGCTAGACAATCACCTGTCAGGGATGGTCTAGATAATACTAAGTCCCACCTTGAGTACAGGGGTCTGGACTGGAAGACCTTTCAAGGTCCCTTCCAGTCCTACAATTCTATGATTCTATTAAAATATTAAGTAACTGTGGTCCACTCTGTGTACACATGATACAGGGGTCCTGTGGAAAAAATAGCATGTGGTTATGTAATTAAAAACTGTATCATGATGCATACGCACGAAGGGGCCAAATTAAGGTTACATGGACAACCTTAGTTCCGGCATTTCCAAACTTCTACGTGCTTGAATTTACAACCTTCATAATTTTCTTTTTAGTTAGTTTCTGTGTGTAATTTTCTAGGCTTTTAAAATAAGAAAACTGAAGAACAGAAGTTCTGTCATGTAGTGTGATATATACCCACATGGATCATCAGCAGGGCTGGAACCTCTAGGTCTACCACACAGGCCTCTGACACTTGAGTTATCAGGGTAACTGGCAGCAAAAGTAGGATGTCGTTCTCTCTTTGGACCAGCACAAGAGGGGGATGAGACAGATTGCCAGTGAGTTTCAGAGATCTTTGCTGACAGCAGAAAAATGATGAGACTCAGGAAACTTAGTTTCCATCCCAAGCTCTGTAGGGGAGTGTGCTCTAGTGGGCACAGACTCTTCTGCTAACTTCCCTCAGATTCACTCACCTCCTCCCTGCCCCCATTCCACCCCAACTCCATACTGGTTCCCGTATCCAGTCTCTTTGTCCAGTCAATCCCAGTCAGTTTCTCATCCCCTGCCCTCTAGTTCTAGTCTGACCAGAGTCCTTATCCGAATCTACTTTTTTCCCTCCCTCCTGGTCAAGCTGCATTCCAATCAGATGGCGTCCTCCTCTATGCTGCCTGGGTGCCAACAAGGGGTCATTGAGGGTCCATGAGAGACAGGCTCCCTGCTCTCAGTTCCAGTGTCTGGCCCAACTGTGGCCTGGAGCAGCCATTACAGGGAAAGGCCAGATTCAGCCATGAAACCTTGGACTGGAGGGAGAATGCTCAGTTGCTCTCTGAGAAAGATGCAATACACAGGCTGGAGCTGTGACAGGCTGGAGCATCCTCAGTGAGGACAGTGTCTTCAGAAATCTTAGCTGCTAAAAATCAAAGTCTTTACTGAGCCTGTGCTAACTGATTTTTCAGAGGGACTTATAACTTGGCCAAATGTGAGCAGATTTTTCACAAGGGCAGTAAAAAGCATATCCCTGACACAAATGCCACCACCTGCAAAATTTCATGTCCCTTCTCCAAAGCATACAGGCCCTAGATCTGATCAAAGAAAGGGTCACCAGCATATTTTAGTAATGAACAAAACTACATATTTTTCCCTAGCCTTTTTCCTTAAAGTGGCAGAACCATTTTGGATGAAATTTTTCAGGAAGTTTCAGCCAAACTTGCACCTGGCATGTAAAATCCAAGCCCAAATGGTTTATGTTTGGCAAAGTTATAATCAACTGAAAATAGGGTCTTATAATGGGAAGTATCAGGCAAAGGTATAATGTCTGTGTGTGTGTAAAAACCTAGGATGTGGTTCTTAGGGCTCCATCCTGCAAGGTGCTGGTGCTGATCCAGCGCTGCACTTAAACATACGTTTAACTTCACACCTGTGATTAGTTCTGTTGGCTTCATTAAACTACTTTTGGCTTACGTGCGTTCTGGATCATGCCAGAAAGCTAAACTGCTCTCAGAATCAAGCCCTTTGTGTAACTCAATAAGTATCAGTCATTTTCAGGACATTTTAGTTAAACTGTTTTTTAAACTAGTATAAAGCAATCAGAAAGGAAATTAGAAGAAGTTAATTTTCTGTGTTGAACATAGTGAATTGGGTGCATAACTACAGTTAACAGTAAACGGGTGTATGTATCTAATCTTCAATTAACATGTAGCCCTGAGAGTTTAAATTAAACCCATAAAAGCAAGGAAATTCAAAGTTAGTGGAAATATACCATACATCCTCAGTTAACAAGGCGCAATGGGTGTACCCTTTACTACAGTATGCTCTAATAATGTGCCCTATCGGATCTAAGTATTGCAAAGAATGTATTAAATTATAATTTATTTTTGTATATTAAACTCAGGCCCTCACATTTACTTTGATGTCATCTTTGTGATTTAAAAATGCTAATATCAATGTCGGAGTTATCATTCTGAGAGCTGTGAGTGGCTCTGAAATAGAGCAAGAAATATGCTTCCACAGTTTCTTAAAATTTGCTGCAGTAATGGCATCTCTGGAAATTGCTGTACTCTAATTAGCGTTCCCAGACAAAACACTTAAAGGGGTCAGCATTCAAGTTATAAATAAGGATTCATAACTTACAGGTAAAAGGGGAGAATTAAAGGACATTGTTAAAAATCATAGAATTTATTACTTAGTAAACTAAATATATTTTTTAAAGTTGAAATGTATGGAAATCCATCCTTACCTCTGTCCCTATAATTGTGTTACCTTCTGAACTCCTACATTAGGAGGTTAATATGCTTGTGACATCTGCATTGTATTTCACAAATAGACATCTTACACTACACTTGTCTACACTTAACTGCACCGCTGTAGCTCTTAGTGAAGACGCTACCGGTACCGACAGGAGACCTTCTCCGGTCAGCGTAGGTATTCCACCTCTCCAAGAGGCAGTAGCTATGTTGACGGGAGAAGGCCTCCAGTCAACGTAGCGCTGTTTACACACCTAAGTGACGTAGTTATACTAAAATAAGTTTGTAGTGTAGACCAAGGCTATGTAAGCTTCATTAGCTCAGCTGTAAACCCTGGTGGCTTTGGACATTTTAAACACATATACTTGGGTAGTTTGCATATGGACTTTAAAGAGGAGGATGGATTTCTTTAACCATGTCCACTGCACATTATGTAGCATGATATACACTGCTGAACTCCAAAGGGAAGATGTCCACAGACACCAGGAGGCTAACCATTTTGCAGCATAGAAGGTTAATATTGTAAAAACAAATTCCACTGGCTGGCATGAGGGAAGTAATGCTGCACAGGGAGCTGGTTAGATCTTCAGTGTGTGTATATGACATGTAAGAGATAGGGGAGGCCTGATTTTCAACTCACCACTAGGTTAAATCAGAAAAAACTCCATTGAAGTCAATGGAGTCACAGCAGTGTGAAACCCCTCTAACCAAGATCAGGATTAGGACCAAGATGTTTCTACTGCTGACTCATCAAGGAATGGTGAATCAGAAGACAGTCTCTGGTCTTTCATGGAGGTGGTTGTACATAATAAGGATGATACAATGTAGAGGTGTATAGAGCTCATATTGTCAGTGAGAAAGATGTTCTGTATTCAGGCATAAGGCTCATGTTCCATGAAGTTCAGCAGAGATGGGGCAGGGAAAATGGGGACAGAATTAAGGTTGTTTAGGATACCCTAACGCTCCATTTCCCTATTTCAAATGTTTGAATTGTATATAGTTTTCAACATTTGTTCTATAAAACTATGATGTTCTTTCAAGTTCCTCCCCCTTTAAGGAGCCTGTGTATTCACAACTATAATTTTATTTTACCTACATTTTGCATCTGGGAATTTCCTTAGTTTTTTTAAAAAAAGGTTTTTGTTTCTACGTTTGTGAAGTATTGATGTGGTGGGAGCCCTCGCTGGAGTCCTTCCCACGGTCACAAGCTGGGCCAGCAGCACCAGCTATGCCAGTTACTAACTATTCCACTTCTTGGGGCTCTGCCATACTTGGGTGCCCGATTTTTTCAATCTCCCTCATCGGTCATGTTTTCTAGACCTTTAATCATTTTTGTTGCTCTTTTCTGGACTTTCTCCAATTTGTCCACATCTTTCCTTAAGTGTGGCACCCAAAACTGGACATAAAACTCCAGTTGAGGCCAAATCAGTGCAGAGTAGAGCAGAAGAATTACTTCTCATATCTTGCTCACAACACTCCTGTTAATGCATCCCAGAATGATGATTGCTTTTTTTGCAACAGTGTTACACTGTTCGTTCATACTTAGCTTGTGATCCACTATGACCCCCAGATCCCTTTCCGCAGTACTCCTTCCTAGGCAGTCATTTCCCATTTTGTATGTGTGCAACTGATTATTCCTTCCTAAATGGAGTACTTTGCATTTGTCCTTATTGAATTTCATCCTATTTTCTTCAGACCATTTCTCCAGTTTGTCCAAATCATTTTGAATTTTAACCCTGTCCTCCAAAGCACTTGCAAGCCCTCCAGCTTGGTATCATCTGCAAACATTGTAAGTATATTCTCTATGCATTATCTAAATCATTGGTGAAGATATTGAACAGAACTGGACCCAGAACTGATCACTGCAGGACTCCACTCAGTATGCCCTTCCAGCTTAACTGTGAACCACTGATAACTACTGTCTCAGAATGGTTTTCCAACCAGTTATGCACCCACCTTTTAGTAGCTCCATCTAGGTTGTATTTTCTAGATGGAGCTACTATGTGTAGCTACATGTACTATATGTATGTGTTTGTGAGAAAGTCACACAAGACAGTATCAAAAACCTTACTAAAATCAAGCTACACCATATCTACCGCTTCCCCCACAGCCAAAGGCTTGTTACCCTTTCAAAGAAAGCTATCAGGTTGGTTTGACATGATCTGTTCTTGACAAATCCAGACTGACTGCTGCTTATCACCTTATTATCTTCTAGATGTTTGCAAATTGATGGCTTAATTGTTTGCTCCTTTATCTTTCTGGGTACCGAAGTTCCCCAACCCAGCACCTTCCTATTCCCCAGATATCTTTTACCTCCCACCCATCTGCCAGGGCTGCCAAATTTTGTGCAGCTCCATCTCCTTGCCATTGCTTGGGGCTAGGTATATTGACCTTAAGCTGAAGTTTATGGTCATATACAAATTACTTGCAAATATGCCAAATAGTTGCATATTCACAAATAATTAGTATAAATGCAACACATGGAGCCACACTAATCTTGGCAGCTATGTCAGTCATTCTCACGGAGTATAGTTACATTATCTGATGTGTAAAGAAACCTTAATTCAACAACAGACATTGTTACGGGGATGAGAAAGAGAAGAGAAAAGGAGAAATCCAGTGGGGTTTTACAGAGTGTAGGTCAGTGCAGAATTCAGCTTTGTGTAGGCTGGAGAGGTAGGAAGAGGGGAAAAGAGATAGCAAGGGAGGACTCTTTGGGCCTGATTCTGATCTCGCTTTGTCCAGTTTTACGAAGTGTAATTCCATTGAAATCAGTGGATTTATTTCTGATCTTAAACAGTGTGAGAGAAATCAGATCCATAGACAGACATCATTTGTATCTAACAAGCCTTTTGTGGAGCGACAATAAATTCCCAGGTTATATATATATTATAATAACTGCCACTATTGTTTCAAGTACTGTTAGCACAAGTTAAATTTCTCCCTGTTGTATCTCTTTTATTCCATTTTTCCTCATGCTCCTATTTATGTGAAACACATTCCCTCCTTCCCCACCCCCTACGGAGAGAGTTGACTCCTTCAACCCACATACCACGTTTTACTCTCCCTTATATGTTCATGTATTTTCCTTCTGGAGCCTGTTGTCATTGCTGTATCAACCACAGGGGCCCACTAGATAGCAGTGTTAGTGGGGAGCAAGGGAATAAATGAAGGAGCTGAATGTGGGTTTTCCACGCTGCATTTCTGCCAGGTTGAAATGCAGCCATGTTTATAATGATAAGCAGTACTGATTAAGGCACAGGTTATTTTCTGGGATTAATGACTAGCTGGGAAGCCTTGATAATGTGACAGGGGGCTTGGCTTACCAATAACATGACCTAGTGGTTAGCTTGCAGGCCTCTACTTTCCCCGCCCCCATCTCCCGTGCCTCTCATCAGCAACTCTTCCAATAATGTGAAAACCTGCCTCTTGGGGATGACAACTTGACCCTCCAGCAAAGTCACCAGTTCGGTTCATCCCCCTTCAGGGTAACAAAATCTAAAGAGGTATGAAGAATCCCACATTCTCAAAACAGAAAGGGTCTTCAGCCCACTTCCAGACGTTTATGCAGGGTTCAGCCTCACATCAGGGCTCTCAGCATCTCTACCCTCTCCTCACTCCTGAAAGGAGGGGTGGGAAAGGAGGAACATGCTCCTTTCCATAACAATGGTCACAGGGAGTTGTTAGGAGAGTCCAGATCTTCCCATTCCACAGGGCTCTGGCCCCGGGCCCTATGAGAGGTAACAATATCAAGCACCCTGCAATTCCTTGAAACTCCTTCCCTGGGTCACTTCCACTGTTCGCCTCTCCCCAAAGTCTCAAAGTCTAACATAAGACAGCAAAAATAAAGAGTAATTTGAACCTTCAGGTCTCGGCTGGAAGCCCCTTCCTTGTAATGGGGGTTTGTGCAACACCCTTGTTCAGGAGCTCTCAACATAGGTCTGTCCTCCCACCCTACCTGAGCCACCTGGCTACCTTTTAAGCTCCTTTCTCTAGCTGGAACATGCTTTGCAGGTGCGGTGGGGCACTCACCTGGGCCCAGAACTGCTCCTTAGCCTCTTCACTCCTAGTGTGGGGTTTATGCACCGCATTACGTTGTAAAAAATTACTCTCTGCCAGGCTGAGGTTGGGATTTAGTTTATATTCATGCCTAAAATGAATAATCAGGAGAAACCTCATTTTCTGGAGTTCTGCAGCCCTACTTCTTAGTATCCTTGCTGGCCATCTCAGCACGGAGACTAAAGTTTGAATGGGCCCAGAAATTAAATCACCTTTCCCCTCCTAAAGGTGGAACTTTCAGGCCAGGGCTGGGGTAGGATGGCAGTGTTATAGTTGGACTGCTATTACCCATTCCTGTTTTGTAGATAGAGGACATCAGTTTCCATTACTGTCAAGATAGCACCTATCACGAGCATTAAATTAACATTTTTAGAAAGGACTTATAGTATGCAAATATAGAGTGCAAGTGCGTGGTGCCATCCCCAGCTGTCACAGCCCTCAGCAGGCATCAACTGGATACACTGGTAAAGGGCCAAAAGGGCCGTTCCCTTTTTTGGTCAAAAATCAACTTTTCATAATTGCCCGTAAAATAAATTAGGGTAGGTTCTTTGGAGCTTTTGATATTTCATTTTCATTTTTCTGTTCACATTTTGGAAGATTTGTATTCTCATGAATTTTGGAAGGCTGATTTTCTCGCCTAATGCCAACAGTAATGAGGTCAAGCACTGTGCAGTATGGTAAAGGCTTTTCTATGCAGCTTTGCCAATACCCCGCAGAACCAGCTCTGTGCCAATTCTGAGCATCATGTGCCCAATATAAAAGGACTCCAAGGAAGCATTTACACTGTACTGGAGAATTATTACATGACTTTAAAATGGTTTGGACTTGTACACAGCCAGTGTTAACAGGCTGTCTGAAACCCTGAAGATTCGCCATGAAGGGCCGAATTCAGATACGTATGGTATCAGCAGAAGGGTGTTGGATTTCAAAAAAGCAATTTAGGAGAAATTTAAAAATCAAGTGTGTAAGGTGGAATAGGAGGAAATATTCAAATCTGCCAGTCCGAAATAAGGCTAAGGCAGCCTACAAGACACTTTGAATAAGGCCCAGCAAGTTTCAATTCTTCGGTAAAAGAAGAATGTAAGCAACAAGAAGAGACTTGTGTGATTTCATAAGGGATTGCACAAAGATCTGAGGTGAAAAAGAAACAAAGCTGTACTGGGAATAGCAAAGTGTGCAGGAAACCAAACAAGCATACAGGGAGTCAGTTAAAGCCTTCAGGGAAAAGTTAAAGATTGCAAAAATAAAAACCAGAAAGAGTTAATACAAGCCAGATGGGGTGAGGAGAACAAGAAGAGCATTTACCAATGGAGAGGGGGTACAGGCGGGAAAGAAAAATGGGAGAGAAAGTGGACCTGTTGTTACTAAATGATATGGGTTAATCAATCTGGGAGGGAAATAATGTGCAACATGTATGTTCAGTATGAGGGAGAAATCTGGAAAGCACAAAAGCTGAAAGAGAGCTGGTGTGATAATGGCTAGAAAGATTAGAACAACAAACATGAGTTTGATCGCTACATGGTGACACTGTAGTCAAAAATATGAGTGCAGTTTTGGGCTTCATCTACAGAGTCATCTGGTCAATGGGACAGGGAGGCAATAGGTACCTCTCTCTATGGCTCTGGCGAAAGCATACCTGGAATACTGTACTCAGTTCTAGGTACTAGATCATGGGCAAGATGTTGGAAAATGGGAGCTCAAAGAAAAGCAAGGGAAAAAAAAAGGTGGCTGAATAGATTGGGGAGAGAAATGCAAAGAGCTAATAACTTTGTTAAGTTATGATGAGGGAGAAAATAAGTTTGCAAATCTATGAAGAAAATAAACACCAAGAAGGGAATGTAATTTATTTTGAGTGATACAAGGAATTAGAACTAGAAATAATGGGATAAAATAATAAGTAATTGTAACAATAAAGGCTAAAGAAAAAGGAATTTTAGCCTAAACACTAGGGGAAACTGCCTGGTAGTGAGACTTATTAGTCTGTGAAACAGTCTCCTAAGGGAAGTGTTGGAAGCATCATTGCTTGGAATATTTAAAACGTATCTGGATAAAATACAAGCAAATGTACTATAGGGAACAATCCTGCAGTAGCAGGGGAAAATATCTGATGATCTAATAGGGCTTTTCTGTCTCTGACTTTTTGACGGGGTGAAACATTCCAGCTCTATCCTCATAGTCACAGTATCGGTAAATTAGACAAGTGTACTTAGCAGCCACATTTTCGACTGTGGCCATTGATTTTGATGGTCTCAATTTTAGGGTGCCCCCCTTCAGATACCCTTGGACCTTTTTAGTGGTGCTGATCATCTTCAACAGCATTGACGTCAGCTAGAGTTGTGGGTGCTCAGCGCCTCTGAAAAAGGAGACCTACTGTGTCCCAGCAGGGCACACCTAACATCAGTGGCCGTCACGGTTCACAACAAAATTTTCTACAGTTGATTTTTTTTCATTACTATACTACTCACCCACACTTAAAGACACTAATACAGGCAAGATAAAAAACAAAGAGAACATTTCTCACTTTCATTCATTGTACACAGCACAGTCTCGCCTTCATGGACTTTTTTTTTTAACAGCAGAATAACCTGGTGCCTTTTTTTCCACACTTGTCTATATAATCCATCCCTGACAGGTCTGTAAAACAAAATATCACCAGCTCCTCTGTTATCATGAAATAAATAACCTCCTCTAATTTTAATCCATTTCACATTAATATGTAACATAAAAGAA